CCAGTTGGTCAAATGACACCAGAGTGATGGGTTCATTTGAGTTCATAAGCAGGTTACAGTGTAGTGACAATATTCTACTAAATTTGTGCTTTCTGTCATGACCTTGTGTTCTTCTTAAAGTGTCAGGCCATGTGGTAACAAAGCTTTAAGCGTATGTAGATGCTAGAGTTCTTCTGTAAATGGAGTATTGGACGTTGATGCAAGGTGCATTCAGGAAATAGCGTATCTGAGTAGCTTTCTGTAGTAGTGTGCTGAAGTTCACTGGCCACCATCCTTTTCCTAGCAGGAAGGAAGGATGTGGTTGCACTGTGTGCTTCCAGAAGTCTAGCACATTTCAGAATGGACATGATGCCTTAATGAGGACAGAAAAGTCCATCACCCAGGAAAGCCAACAGGGATGTATCTGTATAAATGCTTCTTCTACCGGGGCTAATGATTTCCTTACCAAGGTTCATTTGGTTGACTTCTGTCCCCATGGCCAAGACTGTGGTTAGAGCAGTGATGCGCAGAAGTGGCCCTTTGTACTGATAAATAAGGTATGTTTGTGTCTTGAGAGCAGTGGAAAAACTTGACTGAAAAGGTAATGTTAAGGCGTGTAATGTCCCTAAGGGGAATTAGAGTGCTAATTCGTTTGGTTTTGACTGCCATGAATGTGACCAGTTTGTCTGTGGTTAGCAAATGAGTTTATATTTGTTATGTGTTGGATGACATGTGCTGTACAGATCGACTGACTTGATTTTTAAGGCTTTGGATTCTAAATTCTGTGAATTTAAGTTACTTGCTACATGCCCTAAATTCGCTACTTCACTCCAGTGAGCTTGTTATTAAATGCTTGCATACAGATTGCAGGAAGTTGCTTTCTACAATCTAATACGGCAAGGTCACTGGACTCTTACTTGATGCAAACAACCTGACAGAGACCACTCACCACGCTTTATTTCCTTCAGAGTATTAGGCTCAGATGTTACCAAGGATATGCTTTCCAAGTGCTTGTCTGGTTGCATTTTTCATTGTTTTTGTCTGTGCAGGCTATAACTTGGGAGTCATGTCAGAGCTTGTTCTGGTCAAACCCACTCTCTCTATTCAGGTGTTTCATAGCAGCTAAGTGGATTTATTTGCTAATTACTGGTAGTCTTGGTAAGAGTTAGAGCTTGCTTAGTATTGGTATTCAGTGCTTTCATGCTGTGGAAGCATTGAATTTTTTCCACAAAAATGGAAATTTTTTCCAAATGGTATATTTTGAAACCATTTCAGAATTTTATTACAAAGTTGAAAGTCCGGTAGAGGTACACGTGTGAAGAGAAACATTGCCAGCAGAACTTCTTTTATAGAAGTTCGTATCTGAGCATCTGTCTTTGGGGACTAGAAAGCCCAACATGTGTGTATCTTTGTTCAGCAGTTACTCCTTGAGAATAGATCTTCAAAATCCACGAAGTAGTACTTTAGTGGAATAAATATAAAACGTGTATTAGATAAAATATTAAAAAGAAAGTTTTATGGAATCCTTAAAGTCTGCTGTCTGGTAAGTGAGTATGTAGGGTAGAAATCTGTATTGTTATATTGGATTTATGTGGCAAGGTTGTGTTGAGGAGACAGTGGGAGAGCAGCGTGGTGGAGCTGAGCCCTTTGGTGTTAAAACACCATGGTCCTTTATGGCGCCCAGCAGGAGGGCACAATTTGGAATAAGGATGATAAATGGGGGAGTTAACAGGCAAAATGTGGACTGGACATTGCCGTAGTGTAGTAACTGTGCAGAATTTGTTGTAAGGTGTTGAAGGGGCAAAAGGTGGAGTGTGTGTAAGCTGTCCACCTTTGTTGTGATGCCATGTTGACTTTGTGCGGAATTATTTTGCTAATGGAAATGAAGTTTGTGGATACAGCATGATGAATGCTGTCGAATGTGTATTTTAATGATAATTCCTAAATATGCTTCTCACAGAGGTGAGGGGTGGCCTGTATTGAGTGAATGTGGTGAGACTGGTGATGGGGGCTGCAGCGAGGCCTCTGTGCGCAGAGCCCCAGTGCCGCCCCGTGTGCGAGCAGAGGCAGCTCCAGCCTGCGAGGTCGGTGCAGGAAGAGGGCAGGAGACAGGTCCCCGGTGGAGCAGGCTGTACCCCTGCAGCCCACGGGTCCCATGGTGGGGCAGGTCTCTATGCCGCGGGCTGCAGAGAGGAGCCCGGCTGGAGCAGGCGGCCAGGACCCAAAGGAGGCTGCGGCCCACAGAGAGCACCGGTGGACAGGAGCCCTGGGCACAATGTGGTGTTAAACCACAGCAGTTATCTGCTTCTAGTTGACAGCTGTATGTCTTCACCTTTTTAAGTTGATCAATATTATTATGAAACAAAACAGAACAGAACAAACCCCCCCCCCTTTTTTTTTTTTAAGAGTTCACGGTTCCAATCCTCTGATCAGTGTACCTGTTTTTTAGTCCATCCTTCTTGTTGTTTACTTGTCTCTTCTGTATTAGAGGCTTCTAAATTTTTGAGACATAAGCTTAATGTGATCTTTCTTCTTCCATTGTTTTCATTGTGTATTGTCATGTTTTTTCCCCCCTCTTCCCTTGAGCCTTTCAGCTGCATGGTTTTAATCTTAAATGTGTTCAACCCATTCTGTTCCCAGTGTTGGTTGCTTGCTTGGATTTCCTACTCCCTCGTTCCCCCACACATTTGGTTTTGTCATGGCAAAGTGGACAGTGGGTCCTCATCATTCTGGCCCAAATGCAATTCCTTTAGACCAGTTACTCCATTGACTTTGGTCTTAATTTCTAATGCTAGTCTATAGTGGCTAAGTTTTCAGATCTCCTCCTTGTAGACCTTTCATCAGCCGTGGTCCTTCCTGTGTTTCTTCTGAGGGGTGATAGCTGGCCATCACAGATTCCATGTGTCTTCTTGCAAGTATTGACATTCTTGTCCATTTGGTGTGTTACTTGAAGTCTCAGCAAGAAGTCTTAGAGAAAAGGAAAGTGAATGTGGCATAGATTAAGGTCAGCTCTTCCCAGGTAGTCCTGCTCATTGCTCATTATTACTCGCTGTTAGGACACTAAAAATGATAATTGCAGTTCTTGTTCTTTCATCATCTTTGGTTTATACACTTGGTCCATCTGCAAATTCTGCTTGCTACTTCTTTGTACTTGAAAGTATTGTTGGAATATGTTGGTCAAAATGGTCTGTTATTTCCAGTATTGCTATCTCTGGCTTCCTTTGATTCAGTCAGAGTGAAGGGGAGATTAAATTTATATCCTTTTTGTAATACTTCAGGGGGAAAGAGAACAATTTTCTCCATTAAAAAAAAAAAAGTTCATTTGGAAGACTGTAAGTCGTATCATATCACATAGAGATGAAGAGGAACATGTCTGCAGAGAAACAGTGGTTTCAGAAGTGATGTTCCTGGATTTTTGGCTGCATTGACCTGCCCTTTAGTCCAAGCATGAATTTCTTGACTCGTGCCTCTTCTTTTTTACCATCCTCTTCTTGAATTTTAAAAGAAAAAATAAAATTGAAAATGCAAGAAGAAACTTCAACTGGATGAGGTAAAGAAGGATTGTCTTCTACCTGGATCTCCTTCAGAGGTCTCATTTTGATGGCTCAACACTGCCTGCGTTGTGTGAGGTCCATACAGTGAGCTCTAACGTGTGTGTCACGGGAGGTCCTGGTCCTGCTGATGCCTCCCAGGCAGAGTGCCCCTGCATGGTAGCTTTGTGTGCATGTGTAAGGTCAGTCACTGGTGGAAGAGCAGTGCTGAAGAGGAGACACTGGAGTCCCTTATTTTCCTGTTAAGCAACTTCACCTGGTGAATTCCTAGCTACAGCAATTAAAATTAGTTGCCTTATGTCATGGAAGAACCTTTCCCCCAGGCATCCCATGAATACCCTGTTTTACCTTCTTTCCTCACCTCTTTTAGGCAACTTGACTACTTCAAAGATACTCTTGCACCTTCTCACAAGTGTTACAGATCTTTATTTCTCCCCTTGTAAGTTACCTGTGAGTTGTTGTCCAAAACCTCTGCATGCTGCTGCTCTCCTGTTGAGCTTTTCTTCAAAGGCATACAGAACTTTCAGTCTTTGCCTTGCATCAGTCCCCACTCAACGTATGCAGTATACCCTCAAAGGATATACATGCACCTGATTTAAAAAAAAAAAAAGTGCTTTTGTGCTTCCAGACCGTCTGCATCATTTTTAGTACTCTTTTATTATAGCTAATAAAAATCAAGACTTTAATCACCTTTTGGTACTTTCCAATCTGTCGTTTTTTTCACTTCCCTGCTATTAGTTGCTTGTTGCATCAATTCATTAATTGGTTTATAGGCTTACTGAGTGACTATTTCATTTCTCATGAGACTATGATGTAACTTTACATTTTTGGCTATTTTGAATAAATTGGAATGTCTTCCTTTAGATTCTGTGTCCCTGTACCAATGGATTTCATGGCTTCAGCAAATGTCTCAATTACTTACAACCACAATAGGAGTTCACAACATTGTTTTTTTTTAATTTTCTTGATTAGTTCTCAGTGGACTGATGATTCCAAACTAGGATTTAGTCCAGTTACGCAGTTCTATTGCACTAGGTATTTTTTCTTAGGTTTGAGGCAGAATTTGGGCTACCAGTTTTGAAGTAGAAAAATAGAATTTACAGCTTTTCCCTAACGTTTTACTTAACTTTTATATTAGTGAAACAAATTGTCATTCTACATAATATACCCATAACTGGATATAAACAATGTGCCTACCACATTTATTCAGCATATTTTATAAGGGAGATAAAAATATCCATCAGCAAATATCTAGGTTTTCAAAAATTAAGGCTATGGAGAAAAAAAATAATATGTATGTATGAAGGCTTGGAAAGGAAATGGGTGGAGAAGTGGCAGTAGGGCAGGCCTGCTGTGTTCCTGAGCTTAGGCTGCTATTTGTAGGTATCAGGGCTAAATAAAAGACAGCTGTGGATTGCAATTTCTTGAAAGCAGTGTATCACTGTTTAAAACTAACTTTAATCCTTGCAGACCAGTAATGGAGGAGGGAGTTTAAGTGATTACTCCTCCTCTGTCCCATCAACTCCAAGCACCAGCCAGAAGGAGCTACGGATTGATGTTCCTCCCACTGCCAACACACCAACTCCTGTCCGTAAACAGTCCAAGCGCCGATCCAACCTCTTCACGGTGAGTGAGCCCAGGAAGAGACTATTGCTGTGTTTTTAGTAGTGCTCTGTGGTGATGGCCTGAACTTCAACCTGGTTGAGTTGAGCTGGTCTAATCCAGACAGGAGTGGTGAGATGGATCTGTAGGCTTGAAAACAAAAGCATTTTAGAATTACAATGGGGCTTAAACAGAGACTAAGTACGGTGACGGTGACATGTCCATACTGGGAATTTCAGTGGTTGAATTCTGGAGCCTTTGTTTGAATTGAATTCTGAGGTCTGTCTAGATTCCAAGGTTTGGCAGCCTTCCTATCACCAGTAATCAAAGACAAAGTTGTGTCTCTGCTCCTAAACCCTGCCTGTGTGCTGAATAATACTGCTGACTCAGGGCTTCCTTGTGAAGTTTCCAGTGTTTATAGAGAGGTCACAGTGTTTAGCATGGGAATTCCACTGGGTACTGGAAAATAACCACCCCTTGCTAATTTTGTTACTATACAGTCTCAATGCACTTCTATTTTTCCAGGGCTAAAAGATGTGACGGAGATTAAAATGACTTTTTCTTCCCAGACCATGTGATTTTTGCAGAGGAAAAAAAAGTTACTAAATAGAAAGTGTGACTGGTCCACTACGATCGATCTTTGGTATGCACAATTGCTTTGGGAAATAATGAAGCCTTGAGGAATGATTCCCTTATTTTAGCAGTCTTGCTGAAAGCTTTGTGATATTTTTTTTAATACTCCCCTAACAAATCCTTATAACAAACACAAATGGTGACGGTAGCTACACATAAGTTGCGTTTAGAAAGCCATGTCTTCCCAGTCATCATAAAAAGTTGGTATTTTGTATTCTAAAGATGACCCTGTGTTTACTTCCCAAAGCTAGCTAGCTCCTCAGTTTTATCCAGGAAACGCTTACAAAAATGTTTTGTTTTGTTTTGTTTTTTAAAAAAAAAAGTTTTGTAATCTAAACAATCTGTCTTTCAGCCTTTAGCAAGTAAAAAGTTTTGTTATAGTTTTGGAGTGCTGAGTGACAGCACAGAGTCCCGTAGATCACCCTTGGTGTGCCCATCTTGTCAGTGATATTTTGGTTTAAAACTGTACCTCTTCAAACTCCTATGAAGTAATTAAAATGATGCATTTTTGTTCAAGGAGTTTTAGCAACAAAAATGCAGAAGTGTCATACAAAAGCTTGTCAAATTATGACACTGACATTTTGTAGCAATTGTGAGGAATTTTCCCTCCGTTTGCGGGAATAGTGGCTCCTGTTGAGGAGTACTCATGAGTTATTAACTCCACTAGATGTCAGTGTCATCCTAGAAACTGCGAGCGCAGTCATAAATCTGGGAAGAGAGCCGAGACCACTCCAGCGTCTGTCAAAAGCATTTGCCGACCGTTTCCCGTCTTAAGTATGCATAAAACGCTGTGAGGGCTGTTTAGATGTTGTTGACATTTGGAAAACTGGGAGTGATTTATATTTGAGTAGGTGTAAATTTGAGAAAGTGAATAAAGAGAAACACATACATCTACAGTCGAGGCAAAGGGCTGAGGAGAATATGAAATCAGCTGTGTTTGCTATAAACAGGCTAAACTGGCTGGTTTGCGATAGCTGATAGCACAGGGAGAACCAAATTTTCTAATATAGAGGATGTTGGCAGTTGTCTTAATGCCGAATAACTGGGGAAAAATTAAGGGAAAAATAAGTGGTGCGGGGAAAAAATTGTCTCTTCAGAAGTATTTCTGTCTTTTAAGATGTGGTCATATTGAATGCAGTGCAAAGAGTTGCCTTGTAATCCCTGTCCTGAAATACTTTAATACTGACCCTGCTCTAAAAGGTTTCATACCATATCAACCAAGTTGTAGCCCAGAATTACTTAATTGAATAAATAAATGACTAGTATTTCCTGTCTAGTTATGAAAAGAGAGGGAAATCAAAAATATTTTAGTTAGCTTTTTTTTTGCTGTGCTTATTTCCTAGCTTGTTACTTGCTTATGACTTTATTGCTTACGCTTGTTTAATTGCAAATTGACCCTCGTTATGTAGCATAGGTAATAGGTTTAGTTTTCTCCATGAAGATATTCCAGTGTTAGAAGAAAAATTGGTTAAGCAGAGAACAGATGTGCTTTTTTTCTTAAATCTATGACAGATTTTGAATTGGAATAGGGTTGAGAATTTTAAATGTTTGTGTTTCAGTGCACTGTATGCAGTATGTGATCTTTTCAACTGTTGGATATTCATGTTTTCCGTCAAGCTATCGTAGCAATAGCTGACTTTCTACTAAGGCTTTAAAATAGATCAAATAAAGCAGAAGGGTAAATGTCTTGTTTTGTGCACTGCACAAACAGAAACAACTAAATAGTATTGTGTAGCACAGGTGAGGATTTACACTTGAGCAAAGCACTGATTGTAACTACTTGTCAGATTACATATGGGGTGAATGAACTTGAGGTGCAGTAAGATGCATCTCCTTTCTCATATTCAATATTACCTGTCTTACATTATTGCAGATTTGTGAGAGTGTCTTTTCTTAAAAGTTAGAGTTCATTTCATCTCAGTATATTGGAGATCAGTATTTGTACTTTCTGGGGCTCTGTGGACTGTTGAGACAGGATTCTGGTGGTGCCCAAACCCAGGTGCTGTATCATTCTGGGTCTGAAGCAATCTTGTTTCACAGTCCTGATTGATTAAAAGAAAATAATAATAAAAAATCTGCATATGGCTTGTAATACAAAGGGAAAACAGGTCAAATGATATTCATGCAGCTTTGTTCTGTTGTGCTTTTTTTGGACTTTCTCTGGTTTACTTTAATGAAGCTTTAAATAGAACTACTTAATTTGTAAACTTAACATCAGAAGAAGTCCTAGCAAATGTTGATACACAATGGTTTAGATTTTTTTAGTCTACTGGATATAAGATGAAAGATGTGCATTATGGATAGGTGCAAAACCATGAAAGAGCAGGTTATCTATCAATTTTACTATATATTTTTTTGTTTTTAAACAGTGGAACCAGATAAAATTCTCCCCTTTGAAAATTGTGTGTATTCTGTAATTATCAGCAGCTAAGACAGAATTTGTTTAATATACATTCCTATATTTCTGTACTTTTAGCACTTGGCAATATTTTGTATATAGGTATTTCCCTTCTATCTGCAGTGTTCTTTCCTGATACAGTATGGAATACAAAATGTGATGATTTAAAAACAAAATAAAAATTAGTGCATAGGTATTTATCCCTTTCAGAGATGGGATCCTTTCTTTTTAAAAGTCAAATAAAAAGAAACATTCAAGTTGACAACTTCCCTCCCAAGGATTTGGCTACCTTCACTGAGTTTCTTTAAAATGTCACTTAGGGACGCTTTGCGCTATTGAAGTATTGTTTTGTGTTTTATTATTGGGAAGTGGCACTTTCAGATTCAGAAATCTGTCTTGAAGGAAGAGGAACAATAGTTATCTTGAACATCGGATTTCACCCCTCCCACTTGTTTTGCTTTCTTTCATTTATTCTTTGTTTAATTCCCTGGCATGTCATTCCATTGCCCCTAACCATAGTAACTAGTGATAGGAGCCTACTCCCGGCAGAGCCGGGAAAAGCACAGCTTCCCTGCTGGGTAAATGTGTTGCTTAGAACGGTGTTACTTGAAGTCTTCCTCTGTGGGCTTTCTTCCCTCCCCTTCCCTCCCCTTGCCTCCTAAGGCAACTGCTTTGGGCATTTTTCCTTCCATCCCTCCGCCTGCTGAATGCTAGAATACGGAAAACGGGTATTAGCTATCCACGATTCTGATCGTTCCCCGGATCCCGGTGTCTTTCAAACATCCCTTTTATACTGCAAATCAAACCCAGTATCTTGTAGCGCCCTGGTTTTCATTAACTTTCCATTGTGGTACTGGACATCGCAAATGTATTCATTTCATATATCATCTGTGATTTGAAAAGCGCATGAAAATGTTTTCCCATTTTCAATATTGTGTGAGTAATGTTCCTATTGAAAAGTAATGGAGTGAAGTTGTCACTTGTCAGTTCAGTTATTAAGGAGGATGACTCTCAGCTCCTTTTTTTTTTTTTTTAAATAAAATAAATCTGTCAAAATGATTATACTTGTGCGTTCTTTCACAATAATGGACCAGAATCTGAATGACTTCTTAAAATTCCTGTAGAGTCATGAAGTAGGCACAGGGAGCTTACTCCTCAGGGCACTCCTGTATTTTGAATTTCCTTATTCTGGCTTTCTGTCGTTTTAAACATTGGTTTAATTTTCCTTATGCTGATATTTATTTACTCTGTGCAGAAAACTTTTTTTCAACATCAATTGCTACCTTGTCTTGAAATTCCAACTTTATAACCGTTCAAAAGCAGAGAAAGAGTTAAAATCAATATAATCAAAGACCACATCATAAAATCATGTTTCTAAATAGCTGATAGCCTTTCTAAAAATCACACAAATCTGTTAAAAATGTACAAGTGTATATATCAGATTTTCTAAATGAGAAGCTGGAACCTTCATTCTTCTTTGGATCTGCTATTGGAAACTTCAGAAATGTGTCTTCTGATCTGCTGGGTCTTCAGGCAGTGAAATTTTAACTCTTTAAACCTAAATCCCATTTCAAACAAGTGGATGGTTAAAAATTAGAAAGGGTGGGTAGGTATTCAGAGTATTCAAATTTTGGGACAGTCATGTACTTGTGTAGGTTCTTCCCCTCCTTCTTTGTGTCTATATTTATGTTTCAAAATACTTTTTAATTGCTTTTAAAAAATAAAAAATTGTCTTCTGTGTGAATAGCTACCTTTAACGGAGCACAAACTTTTTCTTTTTCCTCTGCAGTCTCGGAAAGGGAGTGACCCAGACAAAGAGAAGAAGGTCCTGGAGAGCAGAACAGATAGCATTGGAAGCGGTCGTGCAATCCCAATTAAACAGGTATGCCGAAACACTTTTTTTTGCTTTCCGTAGTTGGAGACACACCTCGGGTCTTAAGCGCTCTGATGCCGAGCCTGTGCGCCAAGATTTGTTTGATGTGCTCCGGTGATGAATGTGGAAGTCACTCACTTGACATCAATTAGGAGAGGTTCCTATGTGTATTAAAATAGGATCATTAGAATAAGAAGAGGGAAAATGTGACAACAGGCCTAATGAAGTGCAGTCTGCCGGCCTGCATATGGAGCGCGTTTCTAGGCTGAGCTGGCTTCAAAGCCTGCCTTTGTAGAGCGGGCTTTGATTGGGCCGTGTGCTGCCCGTCGACAGGGGTAAATCAGCGCGCTGTACAAGAGCCCCTTGTGATCGCAGAAATAGCCTGATGTGGCCCTAATTTGCTATTGCAGACGGACATCTGAACACAGTTTCAGGCTGGTTTGTAACAACGAGGCAATTAGTTGTGATAATCATAGCCGGTGTGTCAGCTGTGCACTCTTGTTTGTAATTTGCTAATGAAGGAATTGTAACTTTGATTAGGTTCAGTTTCATTTAGACCTTATTATATAAGAGAACATTTACAGCTGTAATGTGTGGCCTTAATTAAACTTCCTCATTACACAACAGGACTTGAATTCAAGGATTTGTTTTGGTCTGTTTTACTAGCCTAGATGCACTTTCATTAGCCCGGAAACTGAATGCTAAATTGTAGCTCTGAACGCTCCTTTGAAAGGCAAAAGCAATACTGGAATCTAATGCAAAGTGTTTGGGTAAATGAGATCATTTACTTTTTCAAATTAAATTACACTGAATTCATGCAGTTAAGAACACCGCACTAAGCATTTGTATGGGATGCTTTACAAATAGTTTCTGCAATAGCGTTCGCAAGTATTTGCTTTCATGCGAGTTACTGTGCTGTAGACAGCAAGAGTGCCAAGTGAAGGGAGCTCATTTTCTTCCTGCAATCTTTTCCAGTCTCCTTTGGTTGCTTTCCTACCTTCCAGAGGCTCACTTTGCCTCCTCCTGGCACATTCCCAAGCCTTTCCTCAGTCCATGCCTCTTCTCGTCAAGTGGCCACAGCTCTCCTGTTGGTGTTGCTTTTGTGTGTTTTGGGGGCTTCTTCACTTTTTTTTTTTGTCGGGAATGAGGGGAAATGGCTTTGTACTCTTAATTATTTGTAGTGATTTCCTTTCTAAAGGCAGTTAAAAAGACCTTTTGGGACCGTCATGCAGCAAAAGCGCAGTCATGTCTATGAAATCTTTAGCAGACAAATTTTAATCAAATGCTGCAATTCAGAATAGCAGTTTGAAACCAGATAAGCTCAGTATTTGGCTCTGTGTTCAGAGGAGGAGATTGCAGGCATGTAAAACAAGCTACAATTTTTTCTACAGCTTTTGTGTCCTATGGAGATGGGTTAGACAGGCTGGAATTCTTTTGGGTAATGCTAATTAAACAAAACGGTCTGTGGATGCAGCTGAGGATAAAAAAAAAAACAGCCAGAGGAGCTGACTTTTTCCAATATTTATTCAAGATGTACATACTGTTCTTTTCTAAAATGGTGTTGTATGAAATTAATTTGATTAAAAACGCCCTTGTAGGACAGGTAAGATGGGCATTGCGAGTGTGATCACAGTATAATGCAATGGAATGAAATATCCTCCACAATCACCTTGAATTGCTACATTGAAAAATTCTCCCTCTCACCCCTACTTTATGTACAGAGTGTGATCAGTTTTTTTCCTAGTGTCTGCTTTTATTATTGATCCCAATCGTAGCAATTTCATTTTGTCATGTACAGGCAAGTTAAAACAAATAATTGAGCAGGTCTTCAGTCAGTAGATGCATATCCTACTCGTGGAGGTATCAGAAAGGGTGCTGCAAGAAGCGAGGCTGAGTGGCACGCAGTGTTGTGGGGGGCTTGTCTCAGTGGTGTTCCGCATCATATGCGGTCTGTGTCAGGGGAATGGATTTCTACTTTGTACACAGTCTTCAATGAAGGTTAGGAGGCCATCGTCACCCAGCAGCTGAAGTAAAAGAAGATGGAGTAGAAAAGAAAACACTTTTTTTTTTTTTTAACCTGGAATTTAATTTAAATTGGAAAGGCAATGTGTATTCATGCTGACAATGTTTCATTACAGTGTAAAACTACATATTAGTTTGAAGTGGTTTTTGATAATAAACTATACAGTTATGAGCCAGTATACGTCTTTCACCATCAGAAAAAGCTCCTGAAATTAAGCACTGAGGTAGCTTTTTGTCTACCCGCTATTTAGAGAGCTCTTATCAGTCGAGGTGGTGATGAGTTAAATTGCTGATATGACTGTATTATCTATCGGTGGGTCCTACAGGTGCGAGACACTTGGAGATTTCTCTGAGGAAGTAGCAATTCCTGATAGAAAAGATGGTGTCTCTTTCATTTAGTGCATTAACTATGAATGAGACAGAGATGTGAAAAGGAACTTTTGGACCTAAAAACTTCAGTAATATGTCATGCTACTGTGCTTCTTTCAATGAGAAACCCCTTCCATCATGATATGTTTCAGTGACAAATGGTCACTGAATAGAAAGAGAAATCTCCTTTCAAGAAGTTGAATGCAGATTGTAGTATTCACAGTGTTGCTGTGGAAAAGCTATCTTATTATATTCTTAAAAGACTCTTTTTAATCTCTTTGTCCCCATGTTTTCCAGTGTTTTTCCTCCTATTAGCCCGCGAGTCACATTGCTGCACTACCCATGCTGCAGTCGCGAGTAACCTCCAGTTAGGAAAAATGCCCCGTGACTTCTTGAAGCTGCTGTTGAGCAAGATGCCTTTGCCAGCTTCAGGCACATACTCTCATCTTCAAAAGCATGTAGTGACCAGATCGTTTTAATACTTGTTGTCAGCACTATTTTTTTTTTTCTTTATAGCTACTTATGGTATGTGCATGGCAGTAATAGTCCTTAAAGACTGCAGGCAAGACAGGTACTTGCAGATCGCTGCTTGTTGTGTTGGTTGAGCTTATTAGCAAATTGAAGAAGAAAAAAGCCTTAGGAGACTTCTGGTTGAAATTCAAATACTGTGGATTATGTATGCTTAGTTTGGTGGCACTTGAAAACAGGGTGATTCAAAAATAGCTGATAGAAAAAAGAAAAGTTTTGCTGACTGTTCAGATGGTGAAGTCAATGGGTTGGTTGTCTGATGTATTTCTTGTTGCCTGACTGTAGGTTGTTCTTTTGGTGTCCCAAAAGTCAGAAGCAGTATTTCCCAACTACTTGGAGATTGGAAATGTTGAAAACTCTTCCAAGCTAGAGGGGTACGTAAGTGGTGAGGAAGAGCTGTTATTAGGCAGGTACTTTTCTTTTTGGTGGGGAGAGAACACAGAATATTCAAAGAAGTTCACAAGAAAAGTGTAGAAAACATGACGAGATGACGCCAAGTCCCCATCAACCACTTTTTTTCTCCAGAGATGGCTCTGTTGCTGTGGTTTAACCAGCGTAGCTGTGGTTGATGTATATAGCAGTGATGCTTTTTTGTATTTGGAGATGGTTTAACCTGGTAGAGGAGCGCTTTTTTTTTTTTTTTTTAAGGACATTTTATTGCTCTCCTGGTTGCTCTCTAAATGCACATACGCATCCTGCTAAGCGAGCTGTGCTGGCATAGCTACAGATTTACTCATAATTCTGTAGTACAGCCTTTCTGTGATACAGATACCAACCTGTACGGCCACTGGAGTCGCATCAGCACAAGGAGAACTTGGTCTGAGCTGGTTTAGTCTGAGCATCAGATCACCACAGCAGAAAGGACCGTAGCATGCCTTGGACACCTGGCTGGGTAGGTTTCTAAAGAATCCAAGAGTTGTACCCTTCTGCTTAATTCGTGTTGTCTGCCCCTGAATCCCTGAGGGCGTGGGGTAAATAGGCAAAATTGTAAATGGAGTCTTGTTTCCCTGCGAGGAAATAGCTCAATCCTTCACGGCTTTTTCTTTAACTTGAAGCAATCTGGTTGAAAAGAGTTAATGTTCCTATTCTGTCTGTCCTTTCTAAATGTTAAAAATTACTTCTTGCTACAGTGCTAAACATGGTTTTATTCAGCTAAGTCATTTAAAACTGTTCTGGAGATCCTTCTGGCTTCCAGCAGAAACCCAAATGTAAGCAATGAAAAGTTTTTAAAATGTGAGTGTTAACTTTTTTGCCAAAATATTCTAGGGTGAATGAAATTTCAGGAAGGTCAATTTTTGGGGTAACGAAAAAAAAAATGTAAAATGAAAGCCTAGTTTTTGCTTATACAGCAGGATCGGCATGCCTTAAATTCTGTGCTCTCAGCTTCCTTTGGGGACTTCGAACACCTTACCTTTCCAAAAAGAAAAAAAAAAAAAGGAGAAAAAGTGAAAGAATGCTAAGATTGCATTTGACGCCTTCCATGTTTTGGGGGACATTGTAGGGGACTGCAGAGTTTCTTCTCTTTTGCTTCATTTATTTGTCACAATCTAAAATGATTGGTAACGTAACTGTTTTTTCTGCAGTCTTACTCATATCCTGTCTGAATACCCTCTGCTAATCAGAGGGAGTCTGAAATTGTCTGGAACAATATTGGCCCAAAGTTAAAATCCACAGAAAGTTCTGTACTTCTGAGAAAGAGGAGCTTTCACTAAAAATATTCAAGCTGCTTTCTGTAGCATTCCTAGTAGTACACTTAGAGCAAAATTAGGGTGGATGGCTTCCTTGATAAGGAGTATCCTCTGTTCAAAACCCATTTATTCTGAAAATGAAGACTCGTTCCTGGTGGTTTGAGTGAATATTTTGAAGTATGTATTAGGCTGTACATTTTAGGGTGCCATACTTTCTAGCATTTTTTTTTTTTTTAGCATTTTGGGAAGATTACTTTGTTTTCTGCAGTCTTGCAGTAGGGCATATTCAAATAATAATAATAAAAAAAAAGACGACAAGAGAAATAAAAGCAAGAAGCTCAGCTCAGCGGTGAGTGGGCTTGTCATGTATTAATTTTTCATTGCTGTGGAGAATTGTACATA